TCGGTATAATACACTTTTTGTTCTGTGGCAGGAAAAAGGACGAATCAATATTGAGAAGATGAATTATAGACGTGATATTTGAAGTTTTTAACAGGAATTACCCCCACATTGCAGGCATCGTTATTATTCCTTTGCATGATTTAAAAAAATTGCAATTGGCTTTTTTTTCGAAACTAGCAAAACAAAAACCGTCCGGGAAAAAAGTACTCTTCTTTTTCCGGTGGCAAAAAAGTCATTCATAAAAAGTATGACGTTCTAAAACCAGTCAACAGAGATGAAATGCCAAACTTTTTTCCCGTCACAGAAAAAACAACATTTCATTTAACAATTTTGAATTCACAATCCTATTTACCATCGAATGTTTCTGCCGTACACCAATTTTCAAATTTTATTTCAAAGAGTTCCAAAGTTATAGAGCAAAAATCGTCTCTGAGGTGGCCTAGTTCTCTCAGAAAGCATCTTCGGACCCATACTAATAAAAACTTTTTAACTTTTTATTATGCAAGGATTACGGTATATATGTATTAATTTCGATAACACCCTGTAAAATGATTGACAATAATTAATTTTGGAGATGAGTGGGTATGCATGGGTTGATACCGCATCAAAATTTTTAATAACATAGGCTATAGGTACCTATATAACCTTCGATTACATCGAAAATTATATGGCTGGACAGTTCACATCTAATCTCGACATCTCATTACCCGAAACGTGCTCACTGAATTTGAATATTATCATGTCGATTTTTTTATTATATAGTCATAAATTTTTCTGAGATCGTCGCTCGCCTATAATCAAATGAAATATCCTTGACGGCCCGGCCGAATTCCCTGCACAGCACTTTCTCTCTCGTTCATCGGTTCGCGTCCCCGTCGATTATCGTTCATTACTTTTACTTTAAAATGTACGCTGGTCAGCATTCGAAATGGTACTACTTAGACCAACCAACACTACCATCAAAGAGCCAGTCGATCACCTTCACCACTATTAATAATAATTGATAGAGGCATGCTGAGAAGGTACAAAACCCTTTTTTTTCACCAGCTATAGAACCTACCTTTATTTACTCCTTTTCAAGGTGTAAAGCGTGTTTTTTCTACCAAAGTAGTTTTCGTCATTTTATGAACGACTAGTCAATAAAGACATAGTCACCTCTGTCATTGACTCTAATTCACTGTTCTGATGAGGAATTCGCAGGAATGGCACTCGAATCTAGTAGGTATCTATTTATCAATGAAGACTTTTCATAATTATTATGTTGTCATGAGATTACCAGACTAGATTTTGATCAGAATTGAAAAGAAGTGTTTTCATAGTAACAATAGGTCCATATTTCAGTTTCACAGAACTATAATGATTGAATTTATTGCTATAGTGGTGAAAAAAAAATACACCGCTTCACAAAAACTCGGATTCTTGTTCCGTGCGAAAAGCTACTTTACACCTCAACAGCTTCTCATGATCTACAAAGCGCAGATACGGCCTGTTCTAGAATACTGTTCCCACATATGGGGTTCAGCACCAAAACATACGCTGATGCTCTTAGATTCCATCCAGAGAAGAGCCATTCGCCTGGTGGGTGATGCCACACTCACTCACTCTTTGACATCTTTGGAACACCGTAGAAAAGTCGGCGACCTTTCACTTTTCTATCGATACTTCCACGGGAAATGTTCTTCGGAAATCTCTGCTATCATCCCTTCACTAGCAATACCAATCAGACGAACTAGACAAGCCCAGTCAGCACATCCTTTCGTTGTCAACCTCGAAAGATGTCGAACAGCACTTTATCAGGACTCCTTCATCCATAGAACGGCTAGGCTATGGAATTCATTGCCTGTGGAAGTATTCCCGACAACATATAATCTCCAAAAGTTCAAGAAAAATTCCAATACCTACCTCCTGTCCCTATCCTCCCTAGGAACGCACGATGTTCTTTGAACATTATAGGGATTCCCTTTCGTGCGCTTCAAGCGATAAAAAAAAAGTAAATAATGTTATTACCACGGGATCTTATAAGCCTCGGGATATAATCCTGGTCCCTTGGTAAAAGTGATATTATTTTTACTACCTTGGTATATAATCAACGTTCGTTACCTATGACAACAACAACAACAACTAATGAATCGAATTCATTTCAGGAAAGTATTGCATGACAGCTACGCCCATTTTTATATTTTGGCGGAGGATTTCCATATTCTGACGAGGATATGTGCTCTTTCGCCATAATATACAAATTAAGTATTTTCTGAAGTGCCATTTTTTTTTCAATTTTTGGAGTGCACGAAGAGAAATTCCTATAATCTTATTATGTATGAAAAAAAGATAAAGTATTTTGAGATGCTTCAATCCGAAAAATGACAAACATTTGAAAAAATCTACGTCCTGCTATTTTTTTGCAAAAAAACTTATGGACTTGCCCCGTAGCCACGCCCCTAAAAATACTTCATCAACTGTAATAGGTCCAAGAGGTACCTCATTGATATTTCCACAATCGATGTGAAGATAACATAACAAAAAATAAAAGAGAACGAACGATGAAACGAATTTACATCAACAAAAATTTGAGAGATAAGTTCATTGTTGAATTGATTGACAACCATCATAATACGCTTTCTGAAAAATATATACACACAGACAAGTTTTATTATTTGACCACGCAGATTTCGGAGAAGTGAAGTGCTGAGCAGTGTATCTTTCATACGCACACATTTGAATACGGCCTTATATAGTCGAAGAAGTAATAGCACTTGCCGAAGAAAGCCGTTTCTAATAATCGTTGGAAGAAAAAAAAAAGAATGAAATATTGGTTCATTCATCTTGGTAGCTATTATAATATTTCGAAGTCAGAATTTACCATTATTACTGTTGTGCAGATCAAACAGATGTTGAGTGGAGAGATATTCACCATACATAAAATACGTAATCGCCAGTGTAAAATCGATCGTTCATAACAAACAGGGATCAGCAGTTTGACAAGAACGATTTAGAAATATTCAGATAGATATACATGAGCAATATGAACGCCTTTCAAAAATAATCTCACGAATTTAAATCTACAAATTTGGAATATATATTTAGAATCTCAGTATATGGAAACTCAGCTCAATCTTTATCAATATACTCATGATGACAGGAGTTGAATAATAGCAAGTGTTTCCACTCAGATTTCCATTTCCATAGATATTCCATAGATAACTGACGGTATTTAAAACTAAATTCGATTTGGCACTTCGGACGTTCTGATCAAGTACATAGTACAATTAGAATTAGAGGGAAGGGAAGTTCTTGTCCACTTGCACAGCTTTCAAAAGTATATCGACGCCAAGAAAGCATGCTTTGTTTTTGTCCTGAAATGTATGAGCAAATGCCCACTTTTTGTTTAGTGGGTAGATAAAATATTAATTCTCAAGTTTCTTCTTCCAAAATGATGATGAAAGTGCAAAGTATATGAGTTTTGGATGATTTATAGGTATAACATTACTTAACTTCTCTAGGTTAGAAATCGAATTATATCTGATTATGTTCATTTCTTCAATCTATTCAAATTTTCATTTGCAATGGAATCTAAAATCATTCAATATTTGGAATCAGAAAGTATTTTCAATAATAAATTGTTCGAATTTTTATGATCATACTAATATTGAATTAACAATATTTATGAAAATTGCCTCTCGTATATAGGCTTGTATAAGTATGGGTACCCAATATTTGTTCAAGCAGTAGATCTATATTTATACATCATCAACTCCTATACAGCTACAAACTATAGATATATTTATTTGGATTGAAATTACAAATTGATGTGTTTTTTTTGTCAGAGGTGTGCCTGCACGTATTATTCTGAATTCCGATCCGCTTTTTGAGCATCGTCCTTGCTCATGATCCTTAATACTTAACACTTAATTCTTATATAATTTGTATTATGAATCATAATGTTTAGGTTCCGGGTCATTTTCAAATATCATTCAAGCCTAATGGGCTAATATATCTCTCTAGAAGTCTAGACTCCCGACTCTATGATATTATTTTTAGTATTCATGGTGCGGTCGGTATAATAAAAAGAACATATTTATTAAAATTGGGATCGTGATGATTTTGCCAGGTCAAGCACGAAGCACGAATGCTTTTTGGGTACAAAATTGGAGGAGCAATTTTTTTTCTCAAAATATATTTGAATATGAAAATGACTATATAGACGAAATCTAAGGATATTCTTGTGATAGACCATAGGCACGAATGCTTCTCGTTGTGAATGCTACCTATACCAAATTCATTTGCGGAATGCAATGATCTAACCAAGCTGAGCAAGAATAGTACTCTGGTGAAAAATAGAAGAGCAAGAGTGCAAGAGTGGCAAATCTTTTCTCGAAATAATTCGTCAAATACGGGAAATGACTCAAGACGAACTATAATATTATTACTGTTATTATTATTATTATCAATGACCACACAAACCCAGCCACATTATGGAAGAATTATTCTCATTCTAAGTGCTTGCTATATCAAATTCATGCACATTCGTATGCCAAATCAGATTCCTATTTCTCAAATGAGTAAAATAATGTTGGATTAAAGTTTTTGTTTTGTTTATTTGTATATATGATATACGTGTTACTTTTTTTCTTATTTTTATATTAGGTACTTACTTTTCAATAAATAATGTTATTTTTGTTGTAATTTTCTCTTCCTACTTCTACATTATTCCTAAAAAGTAGGTAAAGTTAAATATCCCGTACTAGACTGGAACAAGATTATGCATGCATGACGAAATTGCGATACATTTGCGAGACTCTCGTACGAGACGCGAGACAAGACGAGACTAGAGGCTGCGAGACGAGACTCGAGACAAGACTTCATATTTCATCGGCGAGACGAGACGAGACTTTATGAAAGTCTCGTCTCGTTGGTCTCGCGTGAATCACTATTTCTGAATAATGATGATGATAATGATGATGATTATGATAATGATGATGGTGATAACGATGTCAACTTACTTGTAAACAGCCGCACCAGCCGCGCTTGGACCGCACGGCCGGCATGGCTGGAATGTGTAGTCGAGGCAGCGCGTTGGTTAGATTATCCCAGGCCGGAAGTTTCAAGGAGCACTTCGGAAGACCCTGAAAAGAAAAATAACTTTCAAACTACAATTCGATTCGATAAAGTGGTCGAAAATAGAAACAGGAAACCTGAAAATTTCGTTAGATTTTGAACAGTTCTAGCTCCCGTAATAGTCTAAGATCCGAAGTAAGGTCGATCTTCAGCAATCTGTTTATTGGATGGAAATTATTTTATAAGTATCTTCTGTAGTAGTCCATACTCAAAGTGGAGTGGAATGATCAAGCAAGAAAACTCGAAGTCGTCTCCACAAGTTTAATGTAAATAGATGCAGTCAATACTGGTTCAGAGTTTAATGAAAAAATGGTGCTTTTCAAATTAATTGCACGTACTTATATTGAAATCACCTTGTATAGTGATGGCCGATGGCGACTCGGATGGCGAGCAACATGTGGCAGAGGCAGAGCCACAAGTTCCTAGGCATATAGTTATGACGTATGAACGATCACAAAGATATCTCGCAATATTTATACGTTTTTCCGCATCATTGCAAGCTGCGATTCGATAAAATCTTTCGATTCATTACAACTCGGAAGCCGACCGTTTGTTACGCTGCTTTATCTCCGATCTTCGTGTGATCTGTGATTCTGTTGGCGAACGAACGCCCAATCTGTCCGATGCATTGGTCGATGCATATACAGAGAAGTGCACAAAAAAAAGGCCAGGACTGTAACTTTTGAATTATTCAAGATAGGGTTTTGAAAATTGGTGAGCAGCTAGTATACCAAATTGCTCATTAATTGACAAAACAATTTTTGTTATATCACTTCCGGTTTTTCTGGAAACGACCCACTTTTGGTTTTTGCATGGCATAATCGGTTAGGGATTGTCATAACGAATTTATCGATACCGAGTTTGATAGGGTTATTTCAAACAATTACGCAGATATTCGCGTTCTAAGTTTCCATATGCTCAATGAGTGATGAGTGTGACAGGGAAAGAGGTTTTGATATTCCGAAACGGAATTTCGTTAGGCATAAAAATGCACAACTTTGCCATAATTCACCCAACCACGTATCTCTTACGATTAACGAGATTCCCACATTCAGTATATTGAAATCTTCTATAGAGACCGATAATTTTAACAGAATTATTTTGGTTTTTCATACATTTCACGAGAATTTCCATATTCCAGAATACAATTTGAGTATGAAACGCTCTTATATTGGTAATATGGTAATGAAATGAAATGTCTTTTCATTTCTCATGCACCAAAATTATCAGTAGTAATATCCCTAGCTTCCATCTTATGGCTTGTCTCCTCAGCTATGTTCTCTGCTAGCTAGTTTTCTCTCAAACAGGTCTCTTCATGTAGTGGTCGACGAAGTTTCATAAATGACCCTCTTATCATAAATGCTGGTGTTCCGCAAGGATTAATTCTATAGCACCAACACTATTTCTACTCCATATCAACGATTTGTTGGAAGCAACTTCATGTCCAGTATACAGCTTCGCGGTTGATAGTACCCTCCATACCGCCTTCTCTTCCAGGGCTCCAATTCCAGCCAGGCAAATCAGAAACGAACGATGGAGAAATGTTGACAACATAAATATGGACTTGGCAACAATTCTCGAATGGGGATCCAATAACTTGGTAGATTTCAATACAAACAAAACACAAGCATGCCTTTTCTCTATAAAAGCCGATCTCACTGTGCCCAACATAAGCTTGTCAGGAGTAACCATAACTTCGAAACCATCCGTCTCGATGCTTGGTATTACTATCAGCAATAACCTTTCTTGGGAAGATCACGTGAGATCAATTGCTAAAAGTGCAGCCCAAAAACTTATGGTTTCCTGTTTCGGGCCAGGAGCTATTTCACTTCCAGTCAGCTGCTTATGGTCTATAAGGCACAGATTCGACCTGTCCTGGAATACTGTTCCCATATTTGGAATGCAGCACCCAAACATACCCTGAAACTGTTGAATTCTGACAAAAAAAAAGGGCAATTCGTCTCGTGGGTGATGCCTCGCTCACAAACTCACTCACTTCTCTGGTACACCGTAGAAAAGTTGGCGAATCTGGCTCTATTTTATAGATATTTTCATGGACAATGCTCTTCTGAAATATCAACAATTGTTCCTCCCTTGGCAGTCCCCGCGAGATTAACCCGTCGAGTTGAGGCTTCTCACCCCTTTGTGGTCACTTTGGAGACCTGCAGAACATCTCGTTCCAAAGACTCGTTCATCCAACGAACAGCGTGTTGTGATAGTGAACGATAATTGCACTGAATGCAGTTATCAAAATGTATATTTTCAATGAAAATTGGTAATAAGGTGAAAGGGTAGTTACAAAATCCCGACGTTGATTTCGATTTCAAATGTGTGTCATTAAAATCATTCTATTACCCTGATAAAATGACAGAATGTCAACCTGGAAGGAATGCCCTGGAATAAATTGTCCCTTCCTATTATAAGACGCACGCCCATGGTACGAATAAGAATTTTATCGACACACGCATCAGATGAAATCCAGATGACGAGAGTTGATTCCTTATTTTTCCGAGTGTTTCGATGAGTGACTTACGAAGTTGCGCTGGACATGGTTTATCAATCAGAATGAATCATTGTTGGTCGATCGAAAACAAAGAGGTTTAGAACAACCGTGGCACACATATGCCGTACAAGTTGCAGTCAAGGACATGGACTCTTGAGAGAATGTGAGAGATCTTGACTTTTGGAACTCTTGATCGACCGTTGACTTCTGAGATATCGTTGGTTTCGACAAGGAGAAGGAAGAATAACAAAACGAATCCAGAGAGTCTTGTAACGCAATTTTTTTTATGTTCTGGTTCCCACGAAAAGGGATATCCTGCAATGTTCGTGAGAACCAAGGAAAATAAGGTAGGAATTGGTGTTCTTCTTAAATTTCTGTAGGTTATATGCCTCGGGAAACACCTCCCTTGGCAATGTGTTCCAAAGCCTCGCTGTTCGTTGGATGAACGAGTCTTTGGAAAGAGATGTTCTGCAGGTCTCCAAAGTGACGACGGAGGGGTCTGAAGCCTCAACTCGACGGGTTAATCTCGCGGGGAGATCTTGAAAGTTTTCTTGAGCGGTCCATTTTTGATTGGAATTACGTACACGGTAAAATGACGCTCGAAATGCTTATTTGTTGACTGCCACTACTGTCAGTTCATAGCGACTGTTGCGGAAAAGTTACTTTTCCGCAGGGTCGTAGGAAATAGCTATTTGTGTATTTAGAGCGCAAAGTGATAGATTGCCGCTCGACAAAGAAAGTTACCGCGCGATGCGGAGCGGAGCGCGGTAATCTTTGGAGAGCGGCAATAACACTTCGTGCTCGAAATACACACAAGATCTTTTCTACTAACGCAGCTTTTGGAAATAACTACCCTGAAAGTATGAGCGATTGAAATAGTTGAAAGTTCTTATCCATATTATCCTATATGTCCAAAGAAAAGGAAAAAAGAAAAATTGAAATAACTGACGAGTCAGAAAAAAATGTTGGGCCTAACGAGAATTGAAACTGGACCACCAGCGTGGCAACCTGAGCTTCAGACCTCTGAGCCACAGTACGATAAACTCTGTAATCAAATTGAACATTACTTATTGATGCAATGAAATAAAGATACACTGTCTTTCTGATGACAATAAAGAGTTTAAATATAAAGTATAATACAACGTTTTCAACAGATATATATGCTTCATCGGGAGCTTCTTGTAGGAGATTGTTGGTATATATCTCCAGCGGTGAATGTTTTGGATTTTTCTCGCTTTATATCCAATAGATTGTTTCTTGAGAAATGCGATAAGTTTCAGATACTAATTGATTCCAATATTATCTTTAACATTCAAGCATGTATGCGTAACATCGAGTATATAGACCAATGAGTTGATGACTTCAAAGTCTTTGATTTTTTATCAAAATAAGGCAGTAAAACGTTTTCTGAATTCATATTCACCATCTCGGAGTGGCACCAATTCATGGATGTATCTTATTGTAATTCATATTTCTTTCTTGATTTTTCCGGCAAGAGATTCAAACTCATGCGCTTTCTGCCATATCATCAGGAAGGAGGTGTGTTTGATGATTCACTGTCACTATTTTCCATCATGAAAGAATTGGATGTTTTCAAGAATAGATGAGTATAGGTTACAGAGATGAGCGAGCGTTTTTTCAATATTTCCACTTACGAGCGCAAATGCTGTCAAAGAATGACATTTCTGGGAAAACGTCTACTTTGTGCTGGAATTTGAAAGCGTCAAAGGCTTCTTTGTCAAGCGTTTGTAGAAAAAGGTAATTGTTGAGCTCATATTATTATGTTTACAGGTGTCGATAGTCGATACCAGTTTCATTTCTCGATTCAGTGATAGGATTTTTCGAGAGTAGCCCCGGAGGAATAGACACTCCCATAAGGTGTACGCACCAACTATCTGATAGTATTCAGCTCTGAGAAATTTAGATCGCGAGATGCAATAAATCGTTGCACGTCAACTGGCTACCAGTATATGGTCGCGGTCGGCACCTTGATACGAAATCACAGTGTTTTTTTTATTATTATTATAGTATGAGACGTTATAAATATCTATGATAATCTCAAGCATTCTCTTCTAGATATTTCAAAGCGCTTAATGGAATCAAATTATAGTCGCCAATTTCTTGTTCAAAATTATTCAATGTGAAAATAATTCTCTGTGTATTTATACTATTCATACCAAGTAACTATATAGTGTGCAAAAGCCGAGGAAAAAGCTTTGATACTACGAAGATCTGAAATCTTCACTATTTTGTGATTATGATTGATTATGTCGTTGAAAATTCCACACCAGTGATTTTTATACAGTTAAATTGGGGTTTTATGACAAATTACCATAGCTAGGTATGTATTTTAGTGGAAATTTTTCTCTCATGGTTACCAACCAGCGTATGGAATCGGATTTTTGACAAAATCATAATTTCTTATCACTTGTAGTATCCCGGAGTTAATATAAAATGGAAGAATATAAAACAGGAATCTATTATTGGTGTCGAAACTGCGGCTCA